TTGGGGCATTTCTTGTAATTATTATTTAAAAAAAATATTTTGGGATGGTAGAAATATCATTTTATTTGATAGCTACTCTGTGTGTTAACCACAAACCAAAAAACCCATTGCTGTGTTTTTGAGTGGATTCCTATTCATGGCAACCCCACATGTGCAGAGGAGAACTATTTGACATAGATCTTTTCTCTCAAGGTACTGCTGGTTGGAGTGACTAGTAAACTTGAACTGCCAGCTTTTGGTTAGTAGTCCAACGCTTAACTTATTTTGCCACTCAAGGAATCCCTATTAAAAGTTAAAAAAAACAAAACAAAAAAAACCAGCAAGCTCCACTATCATCTAGTTGATTCTGACTCATAGGGACCCTATGTGGGGTTTCCGAGATTATAAATTTCTGTGCAAGCAGATAGCCTCATATTTTTCCTAGAAACACCTGGTGGGCTCAAACCGCCAATCTTATGGTTAACAGCCCAGAGTTCATTTAATCCATAGAGCCACCAGGACTCCTTATTAAGAAGCTAATCCTCTGCAAAAAATCCAAGTTAGAGGTCAGAAATTCATATGCTTCATGACAGGGGCTTTGAAAATTTGTGGGAAAATTCCATTAACTTTCGATTACATCTGTATAGAAACACTTGGAAGCCCTCTCATATATGTTGTTTGTTTATTGTTGCTAAGTCCAACCCGAGCTGATTCCAACCCATAGCGACCCTGTATAAAGTTTATCAGTTCTAACTCATAACAACTTTGTATAGGGTTTCTGAGGAGTGGCTGGTGTATTTCAACTGTTGACCTTGTGGTTCACACTGACACTACAGTCCAGTGCTTTATCCTCTAGTGCCACACCAGTACGCCCCTCTCATATATTTGTTTTTGTTGTTAAGTGCTGTTGAGTCAGTTCTGACTCACAACGAACCTGTAAAGGGTTTCCAAGGAGCAGCTAGTGAGTTTGAACCACAGATACCTTGCAGTTCAAACCAACCTTGCAGTACAGTGCATATCCTGCAGCGTCTCACCAGGACTCCCTGTCACTATTGCAGCTGTTCTGTTTTGTTGAATTGGTTCCAACTCATAGTGACCCTGGTACAACAGGATGAAATGCTGCCCACCCCTACACCATCCTCAAAATTCTTGTTACGTTGTAGCCACTGTGTCATTGGGAGGTCTTCCTTCTACTTTAACAAGTATGATGTCCTTTTACAGGGACTGGTCTCTCCTGTTGTTAAGTGCCATCAAATCGTTTCCAACTCATCACGACCCTTTATAGGGTTTCCAAGGAGCAGCTGGTGAGATTGAACTGCCAATGTCATAATTCAAACCGACCTTGCAGTCCAGCGCATTAACCCGCAGCACCACGCCAGCACTCTGCTTTCTCCTGTAACATTTTCAAAGCATGGGAGAAGAAGTCTCATCTTCTTCCTTTCTAAGGAGCATTCTGGCTGTACTTCTTCCAAGACTGATTTATTTGTTCTTTTGGTGTTCCATAGTGTTGTTGCTGAGTGCTGTAGAGTTGGTTCCAACCCATAACAACCCTGTATAGAGCTTCCAAGGGGTTGAACCATTGACCTTGGCAGTCCATAATACTTTTCAATATCTTTCCCAACTCCACAATTCAAATTCATCTCTGGTTTTCCTTATTTATTGTCCAGCTTTCATATGAGGTAGTTGAAAATACCATGGCT